CCCAGCGGGACTATTTTTTTCCAATAACACAAGACAAATTAGAAATAGCTTTGTAGCGATCACCCTTTCCAAGGGTTAATATCATCAACAAATTCCTTAATATTATAATAACCCTTTTTATACAAACTTAGTTTAATAACATTTTGAGCTTTGTGTATGACAAATTTTGTATATTTTCTGGGATTTTGTTGTAAAAGCGTATACATCGCCCCAAGAATGAATTATTGACTCGTTGGAGTCGAGTAACTGGTACTACTAGCTTGTGTCTGTTCCTAATATTTACAGAATGAATATCACTAATTTTCGCAAAACTACTTTTATTTTTGTGTACGTACATTACATTTTCATAAACGTATTGAGAGGCCAGAGTTAATATATTAATTTCCTTAAATTTTTGTCTCAGTGACTCTTTTGGTTTTAAATAATATATTGCTCTAATGGCCCTCTTCTGTAAAATAAATATAATTTCAGTGTCAGTCGCGTGTCCCTATAGTAAAATACCATACGACATAATGCTATGGAAATAACTAAAGTAAACTATTCTAGCTGTTTCAACACTGGTAAGAGTTCTAATCTTTTTTACAGCATATGCTTCAGTACTAAGTCTGCTAGCTAGTTTTGATATATGGGGGAGCCATTGAAGCTTTGCGTCTTTTGTGATTCCAAGAAAAATGGTGGTATCAACGAGACTCAGTTCCTCCCCATTTAAAATTACATTAGTATTTACATGTTTAACATTAGGAGTTACGAATTTCATAAATTTAGTTATAGTTCCATTTAAATGAAAATTATTAACATTTAAACCAATTGACTAACTTAGCTATAGCATTATTTACTTCGTCGTAATTTAATACTGTCGTTATAATTTGAATATTAATGAAGTATCATTAGCAAATAATACTATATCATGGTTATCCCCTACTATGTAAGGTAAGTCATTAATATATACAAGAAACAGAAAGGGGCCTAGAATTGAGCCCTTAGGAACGCCCATTTGTACAATCGACCCGGAAGAACATTACTGACACAAATATTAATGACAACTTTTTGCGTTCTGTCACTTAAATATGAAATATTTAATTTAAGAGCATCGTTTCTTACACCGCAGTGTTGAAGATTCCAGATTAATGCTTCATGGTGCAAGCAATCGAAGGTTTTGGATAGGTCACAGAATACACCCAAAGCATCCCGTGAATTCTGCCATGCATTAAATAAATATTTAATCAGCTCAACACCAGCATCAGTTGTCGAGCGACCCCTTGTGATACCAAATTGATTTTTATGAAGTAAATAATTTACATTAAAAAAATTTGATATTTGATCAGGAATAATTTTTTCAAAAATTTTACTAAGTGTTGGCAGTACATAACTAGGTCTAAAATTAGCGGGGTCCAATGTACTACCAGACTTAAATAAAGGTATTACTTTACTATGCTTCATTAAATCAGGAAAAACACCAGATTCGATATTAGTATTAAAAATAATAGATAGTTGAGGTGCGATTGTATCTATTATAGATGTAATAACTTTACAGAGACATCCCACGGATCGGTGGTTCTCTTAATATCAATAGTCTTGAAATTTTTTTGCAATATAATTTGATGACACTTTATGATATGTAAAATTCTTTGTACACACATTTTGTTTAAGTAATGATTCGGCAACTGCAGGAGAAAAATTCAGTAACTTAGTGGTTAAGATCGGAATATCAGTAAAATATTTCTCAAAAACTATTGCAATGTCCAGATTTGATTTAGTTTATTGTTAAAACTTAACTGGTAGTTTGAATTGCGAGAGTTTACTTTACCAGGTTTACTATTAATTATACTCCATGTTATTTTAATTTTATTAGAAGTAAGTAAAGTATTTTGTTGCTCAAATACAATAACTTGGCTAAGGAGCACACTCTTTTAAATATTTTGGAATATTTTTTTTACATTTTCCCTAAATTCAACGCTAGGATTATTTATGACCTTTCATTGTAAAGTTCATATAACCTTTGTTTACTCTTATGGACTCCTACTGTCGCCCATTCATTAAATGCCTTGCAATTTTTCAAGGAGAATGTTTTATAAGTAAAAGTATTATTAAATTCATTGCAAATAAGCTTAAAGAATGTTCCATACAAAAAATTTGGATTATTTTGGTATGAAAGTAATGGAAGTTTCTTTACTATGTTACTTCTAAACTTCTCCAAGCGATGTGCATTTACTGGAACAAACACTACTTTTTTATCTACTTGCTTTTTGTGAACATAAGGTAATGAAACTAATTGTCCAAGATGATCAGAGCTCAATTTTTAAATTATACATTTATTGAACGGGTTAACATTTGTAAAAATGTTATCAGTACATGTTGCACTAGATTCAGCAATATGTGTTGGCTCCAAAAATAAATTAAAAAGACCATGAGATTTAAACAATGATCCAAATATTGGTGGAGGAAGCTTTAAGGAGATTGATATTAAAGTCTCCGCATATTACAACAGATTTATTCTGTTTATTAAGCTTAGCAAAAACTTCCTCCATAATTTTTTCAAAAGTATCATATAAATAACATAGGGGTTCCTTAAACGCTCACAACAATGAGGTGCTCAAACTCAACACATGCCATGTCTACAGTTTGCTCAACAGAGAGGCTCACAATATCTTTACGTTCTTTACATGATAATAATTTACTAGCTAAAATTAAGGAGCCACCTCCTAAAACCGTTTTTCTATTGAAAGAACTGACCACGTGGTGATTACTGAAGTCCTAAGTGAATCCTTTTTTCTTATGAATATTTTTACAGGTGCTTTGAATTTATAAAAAGGTAAATCATTCAATCTTCCCAAGAAAAGCCACTAGTTATATGGAGCCTGTATTTTCGAAGAACAAGTTTAGATTTACTGCGCGTGTTAAATACGAACATCACTCATTTTGTCAAAGGTATTAATATTGTTTCTTTCTTAAATAATATTATTTAAAATTAATTGTGATGTAACCATTCAGATATTAATTTCTTCATAAAGGTCGCTAAGTGACTCCTTTGGTCTAATATTGTTACACTAGCGATCCGCCCCGGCTTCGCACGCTTCGTCGCTTCGTCCAAATATCCAAATGTTATATCTAAATGTTATTGGAGTGGAAATTAAAATAGGTTGGATGGTTTTAAAGTCTATAACGGACATAGGTAGAAACATTTTTTGTGTTTTATAAGCATAGATAGATAGAAAGCAAGCATAATTATTTTCTGAGGTAGTAAATATATTAATATTTTCAATATAAATTATTGATCTCCTGAATAATAATACATATGACACAGCGATGGTTAACGAGTTGGTTAAGGTTGAACCAATAGTCGACAGTCTCTAGTTACGAGGGTGGTCCTTCCCATTACTTACAATCAAAAGTCTATAAATAGAGTTATAAGCATTTACCCATATATTCCACGTGTATCGTAAGCGGTGATTGTGGGCATTTGAAACAGGAGATGAGCAGCAGCATATTCTTCATAACAATATAAATAATAAAAAATAAAAGCGACTGCCAAATCTCCTACCTAGTGGGCCACTATTTCAAATATGTGGAATATTTAACATAGTGTGAGACAATATGGGAGGCCTGAGTTAAGTAGTACACTTTTTATAGGCTGTAATAAATGAATAAATAATTTTAAATGTCTAAATAATACCGATTTGTTGATTGTTAGAAACAAGAATTTTAGTTAAAATGATTCACTACCCTGCACATGGTACGGGAAATACTTTCTTATAGAAAACCCCTTTCAGCGAAATGTAAGGAGGCTTGCGCCCAGGAGTGGGACGTAAAAAGGTGTTAATTAACTTCCTACTTATATATACCCTGAAAAAGTGTTGGTGCTCCTTACATATCAGTAGATTTATTTACGTAACTATTAGTTTAGTAATAATTTAGTTCAAGACGTACCTGACCCAAGTTGCTGTTTCTCTACTTTTACGTCCAACTGATGGCACGGTTTTTCAAAAAGTAATAATATAAAATCAAAAACTAAACACGCGTTATTCGATTGCATCGTTGTGTCAAAATTTCATAGCAATTAATAAAGAACTTTCGTAGATTTAATATTTTCAAGAAACGAATATTTATATTTTTATTTACATAACATATAGCTAATATTATTATTAATATTGCATAAAATTTGATTCGAAATCCAATTCTTTTGTAGTACACAATCAAAACATTTGTCGCCGCGAACTTAAGCACTAAAATGCTCTGAATTCCCCAGTGGCAATATCAATCTAGTTGCTTACCTAAATTCAGTAATACAAAAGATTACCCGATAATTGATGCGGCGTCGCTACTCAAGTCATGATATCCTTTGCTTCAATAACAATAGAGCCGAAATTGAGTTGACGATGTGATAATAGCGTTGTTTACGAGGGGTTGGTTAAAGTTTAATTAAATCTAGGGTACTGCGACCCAAGAAGTGAATCAGGACTTGATGAAGATTTAACGACTGTGTTATAAGGTTACTTGTTGTTCGTAAGTGTTGGGAGATTTCATTATCGCTTTATCACTTATACAAAATGTAATACTAAATACACTCATCAAATTATGAAAATAGGCTTGTTTCATTTCATTTGTGTTTTTTACAGAATAAGGGTCACTAACGAGCACACAATCCACCTGATGTTAAAAGGATGCTGTGGCTGTGGCCCATAGACATCTACATTTATCCTCAATTACTAATCAAAATGCAGACATCGTGTCACCCTGAGGACTGAGATGGAATGCCTCGTTGCCAGTAAAAAGAGTCTCCGGTTCTTTACACTCACGATACGAAACATAGCAGCGCTAAACTGCTATTTTACGCTAGTATTTTGTGAGAGATTCCCCTGTCGAGCGGACGCATTCCTGCTACAATCATAATATGTAGCATGGTTCTATCGCATATAATATATTTATTTATCGTTTATAGTATGAGATACTTGTTTTTAAAATTATAAAATAATTAATGATTTCTTATATTTACGCGAACATTACACATTAATTAAAATTGTCTTGAGCTGTTCTTTATTTTCTATACTGTGTCTACTTTCTCCTAACAGCTCAAGTTTAATTCCATCACAGGGCACTGGTTAAATACGAGATTAGGTTATTTATTTTATTTATTTAGATTATTTAATAATAGAGCGAGATGAGGCACTTGCGAGAGAGGGAGGTCAAGCCGCAAGCAGACCTATCCGCTTTATCGAATGAAGTGGGGAGGCTTCGCGAGCAACAGGCCACAAGCCATGTTATTCCAAAACATTCGTCGCATAACTTTACCGCTTATAGTTATTAATAGTTTCGATTTGCTTTAAATGTCGCATAAAAGTAAAGAGTAAAGTTACAGCCTATATACGTCCCACTGCTGGGCTCAGGCCTCCCCTCATTTCTGAGAGGGTTTAGGGCAAGGAAGTGTCCGCCGCGCCGCCCAAATGCGTGTTGACGAACTTCACATGTCTTGAAAATATTTTTTTTCTTATTCCTCAGACATGCAGGTTTCCTCACGATGTTTTCCTTCACCGCCGAGCACGTGGTAAATCAGCACTTAAAATTGCAATTAACAATTTCATTGGTGCCGGCGGGGATCGAACTCGGGTTACTCGCGTTCTGTTATATTTACAGCGAGCGTTAACCACTGAGCTACCACGGCTCTAGATGTCGCATACTTACGATAATATTTGACAGGCCTGTTGGTCTAGTGGTTAGTGACCCTGACTGCTATGCCGGAGGTCGTGGGTTCGATTCCCACCCAGGACAAATGTTTGTGTGATGAGCACGATCATTTGTTCTGTGTCTGGGTGTAATTTATCTATAATATTTATGTATTTAGAAATATATAGGTATGTTTATCAGTTGTCTAGTACCCATAACACAAGCTCTGCTTAGCTTGGGACTAGATGGCGTTGTGTGATAGTTGTGGAATATTATTATTATTATTGTGGGGTATCTATATAGTTTTCTCATCTGGTTGGGTTCTATAAATATATAATTATATATGAAAATGAAAAGATAAATATACATAAATATCAATAACATAAAATAAATATAAAAGTACATAAATAAATAAAAGCCCAACCAGATGGAGGCCCTCGGCAGGGGAGACCAAACGGCCGAGGGTTAGGGGGAAAGGGAAAGAAACCGGCGGACGATGCGGGCGGTATCTAGGAGCACCGCCTTCTGCATTTGAACCTGGAGCGGTCCGCCACGTAGTCCCAGCCGCCTCCGATGACCCGAGAGGCTGACTGGGATTAGCCCGTTTGCAGAGACGACTACAGGAATAATTTCGGTCGGCAGACCACCCCACATGTCGGTCACCTCGTGAGCCAGGTCCAGATATTTTGTTTGCTTGTCTGTTTCGGCTTTCACGAGGTTCTCGTCATACGGAATGGTAATGTCGACCAAAAATATCCTTGACTGTGCCCGGTCCATCAGCACAATATCAGGCTTATTCGCAAGAATAGTCCTGTCTGTGATGATGGCCCGGTCCCAATAGAGCCTGGCGCGATCATTTTCGAGCACGGCTTCCGGCAAGTACTTGTAATACGGCAATTTCCGATTCACGAGACCGTATTTCAGAGCGAGCTCCTGGTGTAGAATTCTGGCTACTAGGTTGTGCCTGTGCAAGTACTCAGAGTTAGAAAGCGCCGAACAACCGGAGATAACATGCCTAAGTGACTCACCGGGATGGCGACAAGCTCGACAGATGTCAACGGTGCCATCCTTTAGGATGTATCTCCGATAGTTGTTGGTCTTAATAACCTGATCCTGTATTGCACAGACAAAACCCTCGGTTTCCCCCGAAGAGATCACCAAAGCGTAGCTAGTGGAGGGAGGCTACTGTGTCTACGAAAGGCTTATGTAGAGCCTTGTAGAACCTCCCGTGGAGCTCCTTCTCCTTCCATACGGTCTCCCGGTCGGAAATGCTCTACGCTGCCGGGTCTTGCCATTGTTCGTTGGCTAAGGATAGAGGGGTAAGTCCTTTATCACAAGAAATGACGTCAATATAGAATGGATCATCCGATCTCGCCAGGAAGTAATCACGGAGGCTGCACACTTCGCGATTATGCATGGTGAGCGCGCTCAAGAAGCCACGACCACCATGCTTCCGCGGCAAGTACAGCCTGATTACCGACGATCTCGGATGATGCATCCTGTGGGACGTCATAGTAGTGCGGACTTTTCTATCCAGGGCGTTAAGTTCAGTCTGAGTCCACCTGAGTATACCAAAGGTATACATGAGGACAGGCATGACCCAGCCGTTATATGCGTGTGCCTTATTCACACCGGACAAAAGGCTGTTAAGCACTTTGGTCAAGCATGCGTAAAACACGTCGCAAACTGACTGTTTCATACCAGTCTCATCGATACCGATGTTTTGTGACATACCCAGGTATCGGTATGTTTCAGCCTCGGAAAGGGTCCTTAAGTTGACGGGCATAGATAAGTCTACGCCCTCAGAGTTAGCAACCCTTCCCCTTTCAACATGGAGGACCGCACACTTATCCGTCCCAAGCTCCATTCCAATGGAATTGCTAAATTCACAAGTGATGTTTAGCAATTCCATAAGATGGGAGCGACTGGAGGCGAATAACTTGAGGTCATCCATATAGAAAAGGTGGGTTACTTTTGTCCCTCCTTTCCGTAGCTGAAATCCCCTCCCGGAGCCCTCCAGTAAGGTACTGAGAGGGTTCAGAGAGAGGCAGAACCAGATTGGACTCAGACAATCGCCCTGGAAGATACCCCTTCTTATCCTTATGTGGTTCTCCGCAGCCATCATCCGCTCGCCCAGATGACAAAGGATCGTACTCCACTGCCCCATACACTGCTCGAGGAAGTCTCTAACTGTACAGTCTATGTAGTCTAGTCCTTGTATGGGGCACCGAGTCGAATGCCTTTCTGTAGTCTATACAGGCGGCGGAGAAGTTCCGACGGTTGCGTTTCACCACTTTGCCAATGACCGCGTCAATGAGGAGTGGTTCCTTGGTTCCACGACCACCGCCCCGACATCCATTTTGGGCGCGCGACATCACCTGATTTGAGTCCAGGTGACAAGTGATTCTCGCGCTCAAAATGGATGTTAGTGTCTTGTATATGGTCGGTAGACACGTGATGGGGCGGTATTTGATCGGATCTGTGGTACCCTGGTCTTTAGGAACCAAATGAGTGATCCCAGTAGTGAAGAGGCTTGGGAGCAACTTCTGGTTGAGAGCCTCTTGAAACTGTCGGGCGAGCACAGAGTGACACACCATGAACCCCTTCAGCCAGTAGTGATGCAGCCCGTCAAGCCGCGGACTTTTCCAGTTCGGGGCCCTACGGACCGCCTCAGCTACGTCATCCGGCGTTATGATGAAGGGGTCCATGGGCGTAATACCCGCACACTGACTCGCCACAACTTCCGTCCAAGGGCCCTCGCTGTGGTTTAAGGGCTCTGACCACAGGCCGCGCCAGAATGCTACAGTGTCGGCCTGATTCGGTGCTGGACCCGTTCCACTTACCATTGATTCATACTCCAATGATTCATAGAGCCTCTTCTGATCACTCTGGAAGAGACGATTCTGGTTGAACCGTGTCGACCTCTCGGTATATCGCCGAATCCGCTTTCCCCAAGCAGCGATTCTCTGTTTCAGATCATCTATGCGCTCCGTCAGTTTTTGCGTTATATCCGGCTGGGACAAACTGACATTTGTCCCAGCAAACGCCATCCTGACGGTGCGCACAATTCTTGGCCTGTTGTTGCCTGATCTGAAGCATATCAGTCTGCCGATGAGAGCTCTAGCCTTTGCGATACGTTCCTCAATTCTTCTTCTCCATGCTGGGATAGCGCATGTACGCATCATATTATTATTATTATTATAATATAGTTTATGTGATTTGAATTCGATTTATCTCTAGTAGAATTATAAATTAATATTTGGCTTGTTAGTGTTTTATATCAACGTGTAGATTTAGTTATGCTATAGCAATACGCTGACGCTCTGTGATATTTAAATCATTATTTGTCATTACAGTATATAGCTTTTGTAGTTCTGGAAGTGAGTAATTGCCAGTCACCTTATTTGGTTATAGGAAACCACGCATACAGTCCAAAAGAAAATCGATCTCGCATAATAAATTTTGGCCCGACCCTAATATATATATATATATATATATATATATATATATATATATATATATATATATATATATATTCGTTCCACCAATCTTTAAACTTATTAATAATTACACATATAAATATTAAATATAACTATTATTATTTAGCAGGTATGGGAGATATGATAATGATATAGGACGACGAGTGAACGCAGGAAATAGAGTAAATGAGGCTCTATACTCTATTGTGGAAAGGCAGTATGTGTCGAAAAAGGGCACGTATGGCCATTCACAACGCTGTGTTAGTCTCTACTTTAACGTATGGTTGGGAAAATTGGGTGTCGCAGAAGAAGCACGAGAGTAGAATAAAAGCAGTAGAAATGCGGTCGTTGAGGAGTATGTTAGGACTGAATCTGAGTGACAGAGTGAGAATTTGTGTGAAATGAATTTGAAGATGAGTGTGGTATACAAGATGATGTTGTAACAAGTATTAAGAAAAAATGGTGGTTTGGTCATGTAGAAAGAATGAATAAGGAAAGAGTGACAAAGACGCTCTAGGTGAATGTTTGTCGACTAAATTGGTGATCGATTAAAAAGGGGGCAAATTAAGAGTACCTTTGACCGACGAGCATGTATGAGTAGGTATATGGATGTGGAGAAGGTGAGAGAGGTGTGTCAGGGTCGTGCCAAATGGAAGTCTCTGCCTACGCCTCTGGTTGACATGCGTGAGTGGTTATGTATGTATTAATTAAATATTAACTATAATTACACGTATAATTATCCAGCAACCATGCTTGGGTGATGGGGTGATGGAGTCAATTATACCGCCACCAAAGGGCAATTTATTTGTTCTTACGATAAAAAAAAAAATTGACGTTTTGGTAATAGTATTTTTCTTAATCGTTTACACGACATCCATGAGACGTTAGGGTAGATTCTTTTACATCCGAACGGGTTCCCGTCTTGTCATGATGGGAGGCTTAGTAGCCGTTGCTGTCTGCTGTATTACGAGACACCGCACTTATTACCTTGCGCAACCGAAACTTGGTTGGCGGTGGAGCCACAGCCCAGATCCACGACTGGGGTAAAGAAATCTCGTGCTTACAAGTACTCCCTTTTTTCCTGGCCCCATGGTCTCCGCCTATTGGGCTCGAGATGCCCTGGTCCATTGCGTAGATAAAGTTGTAGGCCATGGAGAAAGACGCATTTCCTGAGATGGAAAAAGGTGAGAAGAAATCCTATTCCGAGAAGGGGCTGCTATGGGACGGCCGGCGCTGGTGGGGCTGTGGATGAACGTGAAAGCGTTTCCGTGGCCCTGCCAATGCACCGCATATGGAACTATGGGGCCTTTGTCGGGTGGAGTCCGACATAACCCTTCCTTGCCCCGGTGAAGCGGATATGTGTAGGCATTTCCTCATTTAAAAGCAAAGATTCTCTTATAAAATTAAACATATATGACCTAACCATACATATACACAAATATATAAATATATGCATATACATACATACAAATATACATATTTAAATACATACATAATTAGTACTTACAAATGACTATGAATATATACCTGCGTCTGTTTAGCAATACATATTAAATAGATGAGTCATGTAAAATATGTTGTTTTTAATAGATGTTCACGGACCATCTTTTTAAAAGTGTACTTATTGGGTGCTTTTTTGACGTTATCGGGCAAAGAGTTCCAAAAGTGTGTAGCCTGAACTGTGAAGGAGTTACCATAGAACTCGGTGAAGTGAACAGGAATACAGATTTTGATATTAGAAGAAGAGCGTAGGACCCTATTATAAGATGAGGAAAGATAGTGAAATTTATCGTCATTTACGTTCCACTAACAGTTTTTTGCTTCGTATTCCAGCACATTCACCCTCTTTCTTGAATAAATCATTTTTTATTATAGCTGTAGGCTTGTGAAACTCCTTGAATTTATGTATTCGACGTGCTCAGCCCCTTTTTTCCTTCAAAAATCTACTCAAAACTTATTACCTGGAACTCTAATATTTCCCATCGTAATTCTCTTCCTCAATTGTATCTATTCTACATATCCTCAACTGTCATCTTGTGTGTATTTATATATTTATAACTTTTTTTAACTTAATTTTCAAATTGACAGGTGTACATAACACCTGCCCTATTTGCAAGTCACTATAAACAACAGTTCTTTGCGAAGAAATCGCTTCCAGAGCGGTAAGACCGCCGGATTTACTTTCTGCATATATATCATTTTGTCTCTTTCTTATGTGTGTTAGTGTACAATAAAGAATATATTGATTGATTAATTTACTCTTAAAATAGGAAGGCGAAGATGAGTCATTTAATATGGAAAAAAGTACAAGCCATATTCTGGAGTTGCGCCTTTGCCGCATTGTAAGCCAATTTAGCTTAGATCTATATTGCAAAATATGGTCATACTTACGAAGCCCAAAGATAAATCTTATACAACTATTAAAGAGGCGTTCCAGCTTGTTCAAAAGATCTTGTGTCCCAAGACCCAGGTAACACACATCTGCATAATCAATTATGTGTAATATGATATATACATAATTCAGCGTGCTGTCGGTGTGAAGACCAAGATTTTTAACAGAGTTACTGAACGGAATTATTCTACTATCATAATATATAGGAGGTAAGTCTGCAAGATTAATCTTATCAGGCATCCTTGAGCTACCCACCAGTACAGTTTGGCATTTGAAAGGATTGATCAAAACTCCATAACAAGTAGACCAATCTTTGATAGCTGATAAGTTATCGTTAAGGTTTTTAATTCTGTTATGGATATCCCCAATTTTAGCTTGCACATAAAGCTGAAGGTCATCGGCGTGCAAATGGAGGTAATAGCTGCCCCTACAAAGCCACCAGATTCAGATCTCTGTAACCGAAAAAAGTTATAAGCTTGACCTCTGTAGAAAGATCACCAAATCAACCACCGCACTCACTCAAAACGCGTCACTTAAACCACTTACATTAACGAATAATAAAAATAATTTTGTTTCTTTATAACAACGCTACCAGATTTATGTTATTGGTTAAAATAACGTAAACTTTAAAATATTATGGGCTATGTACTTAATTTTTTTAAATTTTATTTTATCATCTATCATGAAGGTGGTTTCACAACCACAGACTATACACACTTGTTTCGTGCGGAATTCATCCCAGCAGTCCTGCAACGTCGTGGCCAAACGCTTAATCACTGTACAACGGAACTGTCGGATTAATGTCTCTTTAGCAATTTAAGTCTACAAAATTACATGCAAATTTTGTCCCGATCAAGAAACAAGTCGCTCTCAATGATGGATAAAACCGATTTAAGTCGGTTTAAGCTAGATTACACAGCACCCAGGCGGCCTCCGCCTGTGATCCACTAAAACACATTTGTTACTTAAATACGCGAAAAATTAAATCCAATGGGGTATGTCATTCGACAAACGGTCGGGTTGTTAGATATGATACGGTATTTGTAAGTTTCCTTTACGGTATTTGTTTTTGTTTCGTATTCATTGGGCCTTTTCGATAAATATATATCTAAAAAAATATAAATCAACTCCAATTATTATCATCGGATCTGGTTTAGTTTTATATAGACCAATATGAAAGTATACTTTACCTACCAGCTAAGTGAAAATCAATTAAATTGGTTTACTAATTCTTATTCCTAAAAAAATTGCAAAACTATTCCACTTCATGTTCATCAGCACTTTAAAGTCCACAGCTAGACATGGACCTCTTACATTGTAGAAAGTATTTGCCTTGATCATCACGCCTGGCATGTGGAATGCAGTATCAGATGTCTCGCACCTTGGAGGTTGCTCCCAGTCATTGGTCGTGGTATTTTACACCTGGCGTACAGAGATGGTTTTACAGCCATCAAGCGAAATCGGTCTATTTGTATTTTCTCGTAGTCACCTTTTACTAGAACCATATAATGAATTGTGGTGGAAGATTCTCATACACCGCCACAAGGTAAAAAAATATTATAGATTTTAATTTATTTATTACAGCTTGACAACAGTCTACTGTTAAACATATTTAGTTTTTTTTTACTCCGAGATTAGAGGAGTCCTGTGCCCAGCAGTAGGACGTATATAGAATGTAAATTTCTTTATAGAATGTGACCTTACCTTAACTATCCTAGATTCTTCGGAACAGTGCCGCAATATTAATTGTAGTCCCGCATTTTTATATTTAACCCCTCAGCCCTGAGCGGTCGCATGAGCCCGCGGCCATATTCCGTCAAATCCTTAGCGTTCTCATGAGGTCGCACCAACCCACAGCACTTTAACCCATAAAAACGTACATATACAATATGTAACGTAATTAACGCACACCTTCAGACACCCCATTTAGTATATTATGTTATAATCATAATACATACACTGAATCTTTAGTTAAACATTTTTATGCACTGCTTATTTATCAAATTAGTTTACTAATTCCAGAAGAATGTTGTGGTCACAGTACAAATCTACGAATGCAAAGACTTTAACGTGCTTGAAATAAAGTTCAGTTTTCATTATTTTTATTGAATGACAGAATTAGTAATACAATTCAGAAGAATTATGAATACAAATAAAACTGCACTCTTAAAAGTCTTATTGCCTTAAGTTACGGTCCATTTCAGTTCATCTTGACTGTACAGATTTAGTGTGACTGTAATTTACGTAGTGTTAATTATTTTTGGGATAATAAATTACCTATATTAAAAATGATAGGAATCGATTCAGTAAA